TACATAACCATAAGTAAGAGAAATTATCCCTCAGTGAGATCTGTGAACATTTATGTATACTGGTTAGTGTTATACTGGTTAGTATTAATATATAATTAACTCCTGGGATATAGGAATATGATATTAACTACTTTGTTTTTTCTTTTCCAGAACATAGTTGTGATAATTAATACAAAGCTAGGACTTACATAGATAGTGCTTATCATGTGCCAGGTCTAAGAACTTAACATATATTTTATTCTTCACAACAAATCTTTGAGGTAGGTACTGGTAATTACCTGAGTTTATAGATGAGGACACTGAGGCACATGATCTAAGTAACTTATCTATAGTGACACAATAGAAAGTAGAAGAGCTGTCTGTCATGTGAGCCTAGGTTGTATGGCTCCCAAGTCCATGCTTGTAACCACTATTCTCTCCTGTCTGAACTGTTTATCATCAATAATATTTTCTTGCATGAGTATGCTAAATTCCCAGTTGGTAGCAGTGGTGTCTTCAAACCAACAATTGTATAGAGTTCAAACACATGAACTGGATATGGACAGGCGGATGGAATAATAAAACCATATCCTAGAAATCCTTCACTATTGAATGAAAATGGAGACCTAGCTCAAATATGATGTATGTTAGATAGTCTGAAAAAATCACTACAGTCTAGTCTAGTTTTAAGAGAGCAAAGAAAACTATATTTAGGGTAATTGATCTTCTGCCACTGACAGCCCATTCACTAGCTAACAACCCTATCTATCTCCCTCGATGTTGGTAAAACATTTCTGGACAAGCAATTTTGTTGTATAATATACTGAGTCATATCAAAATATCAATTAATATTAGATTTTCCAAATAAGGTCCATAGAGTTGAACTAAAACTGGGAGGGGAGGGGAGAGTCAGTGAAGGATGGTCTGTTTTGGAGGACCCTTGTATCAGGATCACTTGGTGGCTTTCTAAAATTTCACTCCCCACATTCTGAGATTCTTGTAGTCCCCCACCTCCAAATACTCTGAAGCAAAGAGCCATACTCCTGATGATCTTTTATCACATCTTTCAGGTGTGGTGAAATGTTTCTTTGCTCATTCTTGCTGTCTCCCTCTGACAAGAATGATTTCCTCAGGTTGTCTGTCTTCCTCCCCTGTCTTCACCCTCCTCAGTCCTTTTCAATGTGGATGGCTCCTTATTAGCAGCGAAGGCTGAGATTTGATGTCCCACCTTCAGGAAACTTTCCTTGACTAACCCATCTGATTTAGCCACCCACCATCAACAGGTCCTTTTAACTGCAAAAGAAAAAAAAAATAGCAGCCTCTAATATTTGGAAGCTGGCCTGGCTCTCAGAGCTATGTTATTTTATTCCCCTATTGGATATAATACCAACCTCAGACAAGGCTACTTTGAGGCATTGATAAAATGAGACAGAGTAGGGATACTTCATAATCTTTGTCTAAGTCCAGACAAAGGCAGGGTCATTGTGCCACTCCAGAATACCAAACATCCCTTGTCTCTTGGCTAAAATGAGTGCTACTTTTTTTAGACCAATTATAGCTTTATTCTCATTCTAGTCTCCCCTCCCTATAGCTAAGATCCATTAATATACTACTAGAAGAAGCTATAGG